ACACACACACACACACACACACACACACACACACACACACACACACATATATACATATATATATAAATATATATATATGTTATATATAAATATATATATATATATATATATATATGTTATATATAAATATATATATATATATATATGTTATACATATGTATGTTATTAGTAAAAAAAGGTGTATGCTCACAATCTGTCTAATTGGAGTTTTAAATCAAAAATTTTAAATATGTACCACAGTGCATTTCATTGGCTGATGAGTTGTGATCAAACAAAAATGATTCTTTTGACCTGCTGATGATCAAGATGAGTGGACGCAAAGAGTGAGTGAATGATTTGCACTGGTTGAAGATCAACTTTAGTTCAATGAAATGCAAAATGCCTGCAACTGGTGTCATCTAATGTTTCATCAACAAGAAAGGATTAGAAAATCAAGCAGCCGCTGCAATTAAGACTTGGCACGGTATTAGATTAAGATATGAGGTGGGAGTGTAGGGGAACCTAATCCTCAAAATTGTCTCATTTCTAAACTAAAGTGTAAGTTTTTATTGAAACTTTTTGGAAATTTCTTTGCTTCTATGTTGCTTGCCAACTAGTTACCATCCCAACCAGTTGCAGCCCAGTGCCTTTGACTGTTCGTGACAAATTACAAACATAATCTGCGGCAGAGTTTTCAAAATGTGTCTCAGTTTTCACGCTTAAGTCACTTAAGTTGTTGCAATCTTGTAACAACTTTTGTCTCACCCTGGTCAAAAAATGTTGGTGTTTCAGAATGCTCTATAATGTTATTTATCCAGCTACAGCAGTCAACATGCAATAGATTTTGTTATTCTTGTATAAAAATGAATCACCAGGCTATGATATTAAATACGTCTGAAAAATGTCAAACTGGTTGTTGTGATAAAAGAAAAATAGAAAAAACATCTGATTTGATTTGATATCATAACATCCCAAACCCTCCAGCTGCCCTTGGGTCAAAATGAGCACTCCATTTGGCATGGCCAGGTAAAATCCCAGTTTAGAGGCCAGATGGGCCAGTCCGTTTCATACATCTTACATCAGAAAGAAACAAGTCTACCTTACATTTACTTTACTGATCTCCTTTCATTTTTCTTGTTTTCAGTAAAAGCAGCAGAGTGAGCGCTCTCTCAGAAATTCTCTCTGCTACCACACACACACACTTTTACACACACATTTTTCCAAGCTGATGTCACTGCACTGTCCAGCCTGCATATCCCTCTTCCTGTATATTTCCTACTGCTCCATCACAGCTCCATCCTTCAACTCCAGCTCCATTCTTTAAACACGAGAAAGAAAGTTAGCAGGAGTCATGCTGGCTGCTGATCCCTCAGATGTGGCTAAATCATTCATTGCTTTCTCTCTCTTGGATTCCTGGAAGTAAGGTCACCGTGCAGCACAATAAAATAGATGCTTGGGAGAAAACAGGATCATACTTTCTTTTTTTTTTTTTTTTAAGAAAAGAGATTATGTGTCTGTCTCAAGAGATGCAACACATAATGAGACCTTCAGCTAAAAATGGTCTTAATTGAAATGACCAGAAATTCACTGTTTAAATGAAATGTGAAATATGTGATATTTTAGAAATGTACCTAAAATTAAAAAAAAAACATATTAATTTTAAATGACCACACATCAGATCGTGCTTTTAGAATAAAATCCTAAATGGCATGTTTATATGTAGATAAGCACGCCCTCTAGTGGGGGTGCAGTAAATGTAACACAAAAATTTACTGACCACTTCTTTTTTTTTTTTTTTTTTTTTTTTTTTTTTCATTCAACCTTTATTTACACAGGTTAGTCCCATTGAGCCTCGAGGACTCAATTACAAGAGAGACCTGATTTTAACAAAGAGTGAAGACAACAGTGGACAATCATAAAGGATGCGTACAAATTGAGAAGAACAAGTGAAAATAAAATGGTATCTAATTTTTTTTTTACAAAAAGTAAAACAGCTAGGTAGAAAACTAAAAACAGGAACATGTCTGCGTTGGTTTTTGCCCGGAAATTAACTGATTCTTAAAGCCACTTAGAGAGGTCAAGCTCGAGAGCTTCAGATCTTTTTGCAAGATATTCCAGGAAACAGGAGCGGAGTTGGAGAAGACCCTTTTGCCTAGTTCAGTCCTCACTGAGGGAACACTGCAGGTAATAATGTCCTGAGAGCGCACGCTGTAGCTGCACTCACGCAGAATGAAAATGTCCCAGTGAGAGAGTCTGTGTGAAGTTTACCAGTGAATACAGGGTGCAGTGATGAGTACGGTGGTTACAGCCATTTATGAATCTTAGCGCACCATGACAGAGTCCAACAGGGTGCTTCTAGGAGCGTTCATGTAAATAATGTCACCGTGGTCAGTGGAGGGAAGGAAAGTCACAGTTACAAGGTGTTTCCTAGTATTCAGAGTTAAATAGGATCTAATTCTGAAAATGAAACCCAATTTTGTAGGATTTTAAAAAGTTAAGTCTGGTCCTCTGGATGTTCAAAAAACAAAAAAAATTGTAGAAACGTGTCATCTTTCATCCGAAAGACTTCTTCAGTCTGAAGAGCTGTATTGCCAGTTCTGTAGGAGTTGTAGTTCTGTCCCTTGTGTCATGTTTGTTTGTGTTCTGCTGATCCTCTTTTTCTATTTATAAGGTTTGGGTTTCTCTAGTAGCCCTATCTTGTGTTGTGTTCATGTCTTGCATCCTCTGTCTCCTTCTCTGGCATCTGTGATTGTTCACAGGTGCCTTCACTATGTCTGATTGGTGTTTCCTGTATATAAGTCTGTGTCTTTGTGTTAGTCTTTGTCCTGGCATTGTTTATGTGTTCACTGGTGATGACCCGTCTATATTGTGAGTACCCCCTGTTCTTTCTGTGTTTAGTTTTGCTGCCACTTCAGCTCGTTTGTTTTGTTAATAAATTATTTACTTTACATAGTTCTGAGTTCTCGCCTGCTTGCCTGCACCACTGGGTTCGCCACTGGGTTCGCTCAAAAACTGTAGGCACACGCTGTGCTCATACATGTCTCTCTGTCCTCCGTCCCCCACGTCAATAAAATACATGGATGAGATGAGCACCCCGCCATGGCAAGTTAACTAGGGGGAACACTGCATAAGCTTTGGTTTTCGAGGTAACAACCATAGATATATGTTCCTGGTACAAGAGTTGTGAAATGAGCTGTCAAACTATAACTTTCTCAATGAGGAGCGAGAAACTAGCTGTGTTGTGCTAAGCTAGCAGTAACTTCCCCCCGCTCCACTATTTGTGTTAGCTAACACTGGGAACAAGATCACCTCTATGTAAATTGTTTATTCCTGGGTGTAACATCCGCCGCTCTCTTCATAACGCCACTGAATGTGGGAGAAGTGAAGCCTTGACCTGCAGTTTGGGGCAAAGTTCAAACATGGGCGGGATCAGTCAGTCGCTTCAGTCCGCACTGACCAATAAGAATACGCCTTACATCATTCTTTCTTAGGCCCCGCCCAGGATGTTCATGTTCTCAAGACCCAAAACTTTTGACTTCAACTAAACGCAATGAGTGTTTCAAGAAAAGTCTGAGCTTCGTAACCAAAGAAAGTTTCTGTTTTACAAATAACTTTTTTCATTTTGCAAGAAAAAAATAAGGGATTTAAATAGAAAACCATGTCCTTTGAACAAAACTTAAAAAATAAAATGAAATACTTAATTTCAGTTTTAAATGTTTTGATCAGGGCAGCACGGTGGCGCAACTGGTAGAGCTGCTGCCTCTCAGCGAGCAGGTCCCTGGTTCAAACCCCGGTCCAGGGGCCTTTCTGGGTGGAGTTTGCATGTTCTCTCCGTGCATGCGTGGGTTTTCTCCGGGTACTCCGGTTTCCTCCCACAGTCCAAAAACATGCATGTTAGGCTAATTGGTAACTCTAAATTGTCCCTAGGTGTGAGTGAGAGAGTGAATGGTTGTTTGTCTCGTTTGTCTCTATGTGTCCCTGTAATGGACTTGCGACCCGTCCAGGGTGTACCCCGCCCCTCGCACAGTGATTGCTGGACATGGGCACCAGCGACCCCCGTGACCCAAAATGGAATAAGCGGGTAAAGATAATGGATGGATGGATGTTTTGATCACAAACGTGTTTTTTTTTTTTATTATCTTTTGTTTGATTGAATAATAAAAAGACAAAATTCCCTCCATAAATTAAAAGAACCATGTCCACCACTGGTCATAAGGTTGGAGGGACTTCCCGTGGTTAACAAAATACTGTGTGAGGAGACTTGCTGCTATAAACATTGTATAATTTATCACTCCAGCAAGATAAGAACACAAAATCTGCTTCAAATTAA